TAACCCTAACCCTAACCCTAACCCTAACCCTAACCCTAACCCTAACCCTAACCCTAACCCTAACCCTAACCCTAACCCTAACCCTAACCCTAACCCTAACCCTAACCCTAACCCTAACCCTAACCCTAACCCTAACCCTAACCCTAACCCTAACCCTAACCCAGGTTCTTCGTCCAACGTCGTCACTCAGTCGACCATGGACAAGAAGTTAGATAAGCTGAAGAAGGAGTTGCAGGGCGGGGCGAAAGCCAAGGTTAGTCGCATTCGCGATCTTTCCGTGTCCTATTATACTGACCCTACCTTCATAGAAGGCAAGGAGCAAGCGTCAGAAGAAAACTTCTTCGACGCCGAGTACGTCGACAGCCACCCCGACGGTTCCCCCTCCCGCACGTGCAGCGAGGGCCAAGTACTCGGCGACGAAGGCCAAGAAACCCAAGGCCAACAAGCCCTCCGGCGGCAACGGAGGCAGGAAGGCGGGCAAGCAGCCCGCGTCGAAGTAACCCACCTGCACCCCGACGAGGGTCAAATGGTGAGTTTTAAGTTCAATAGGCCTTCGACATTACCGGATTTTTGTCTAAAAATCCCTATCCAGGACGCGATCGGACTCATTTTGTTCTATACTCCTCTGCATGTATTAGATAGCCTCGCTTATCAAAATATTGTTCATGTTAGTCCTGGTGTGAATCTTCCAACGAGCATCGCTACTCAGTTAAGCGTCGGTATGAATTACCTTTATCACCAACCACAGCGTTCAGAGTTGATTACTCAAGCATGGACGGACTTTAAGTATCGCCTTCGTTGGCGAATGTGGCATGAACTGAATGGCAATAATCAATGTTACGACCCAGACTACGAAGTGAACGAGCCCAAAGAAAGGCACGAACCACCTAGTTTACCGCATTATATAGAACAGGGCATTGCGCGTGCCGGGAAATTTGTGTCTACGACCATCTCCCATATGCCGCACGATCTTGACGTGGAGGAACATCCTCATAAATCTCTTACTCCACGTTTCGCAGCTGTTCGTAGATTCCTACACGACCGTGGTTATGTTATCACAGGAACGGACAAGAATCTTGGCATCGCGGTGTCAGAGAGAACCTGGCTAGTATCCAAAACGCTAGAATGTCTTAATGATAGGAATAGTTACATCCCTGTCACGAAACAATATATCGATGACCTTCTAAAGCAAAAATGTCAAGCTATGCTAGACCTTTCGTTACGCGCGGAAGGTTTACTTGCTGAAGTGAATGCACCCGACTTCCTCCGGTCTAAAATAACCTTATGTCGGAAATCGCTAGACGGACGAGAGATACTCGAATTCCTAGCCCCGCATCACGTTCCAAAATTCTACGGGATCCCCAAGATCCACAAGACGCCCACTAAGTTCCGGCCGATCTTGCCTTGCCACAGCGTAGCATTTGGACCAGCTGCTAAATACATTTCAAAATGTCTCAAACCGCTCGTAAAAGCGGCGCCTACCATTATTCATGGAACCAAAGACTTGGCGATAAAATTGAGCAAGATCAGAGTCGATCATCGACGCCGGTGGTTCATTGTTACCGGTGATGTCACTGCTTTCTATCCGAATGTTCCCTTGGAACAATGTCTCGAAATCGTACGTAAAAAATACGAGAACTGGGCGTTCCTACACTTCGATAAAAAACAAATGCAGAAAGCGAATGAATTAATTCGCTTTTTTAATGATTGTCTAATTGTTGGCAACACTGATCTTATTACACAGTTTGGTAATATTCTCCGAAAACAGAAAGAAGGACTGGCCATGGGCGTAGCAGATTCCCCAGATCTCGCTAACCTATTTGGTGCATACTTCGAGGAGATAGCTAATATTATCAACGATCCGATAGTACCATACTACGGACGTTACATCGATGATTGCATGGCGGTCGTATACGCAGAAACGGAAGTTGAGGCTGTTACGTACCTAACCAATCGTATTAAATTCGATGGCTGTGAAATTGTGTGGGGCGCTTCTGCCACTCATCAACCTTTCTTAGACATGTTACTTTATAAAGATAGCAAGAACTGCTTGCAATACATGCCGTACCGGAAGGCGCTCTCACATCAGGAAAGAATCCCGTGGATATCCGCACACCCAACTACCGTCAAACGCGGTACGTTTTGGGGCGAGATGTCACGTTTAGCCACGCTGAGCTCTACACGCGACGTGTACGAACAGTCCATGCATGATCTTGTTAATCTGTATGTCGCGAGAGGCTACCCGCTGTCTGAGGTCACTAAATGGCTGAGGAGCAAGAAAGAAGAACGTTGGAATAAGCGCTTGAGTGACAACTCAGTTGAAGCGAACAACGCTGGCGTTCTAGTCTTGAAGTCATATTACAATACAGCATGGGATTACTTTAACGCAGACGAATTTGCGAAAGAACTACAAGGATTTTGGCGGGAATGGTGCGAACGCGCCGACCGCTGGGATTTCAATGCCGAATACTATTGGCAACGATCTACCGAACCCGGAGTACACCGTGAGGTGCAACTGGGCCGTGGTGCCGCGATCGACGCGTACGTTTCAGACGTACGGGATCCGGCTTTGCCTTCCTTTGAGGGGGCGCCCGGCCTGGTTCAGTTTGTGGACCTCCGTAAAACACAATTCCTTGATAAAAGGGTGCTAGTCTCTAAACGACGCACTAACAATCTGTCCGATGTGACAGGTCTTTGGAAAAAACAAGTTCTTTCGACGCTGGAAGAGTTATTACATGACGACGCTGGATCCATTGCGGATAACGGCTTGAACCCGCTGGCCGCAAGGCTTCCGGGATCGCCCGAATCGGATGGTGACGACGATCTAATTGTACTACCCCCGGGAGCTCCTGAACCTCCCCTGGGTACTCTATTCCGTGCCCCTGTTGGCCCTACTGGTACGATGCTCGACCCCGTGGAACACGATATCGACTTCGCGATTTTGCATAATATACCAACTGGACGACACCGCAGAGGGTCCTCTTCTCCGGAAATTTCAGACACATGGTCCTATGGACGTTAAACGGTTTTCCTCCCGCTCTAGGTGGCTTCGGCCTTAATATCCTGGGAGCCTTGTTTGTACGCAGCTCCGCTAGTAGCCGGCATGTCCCGCTCTTCGCATCCTGTACTCCAGGACTGTCATACCCCATCATACGTGCTCTACGCGCGTCTTCCCGGGTCACGGTCTCTCTATTCGATCCAAGCCGGTTAGGCCCACCCTCGTAGAGATAAGGATACAGTTGAGGCCTGAGTACCTCTGCCTACCAACGCGCATGCAAGCGCACTCATCGCTCAGGGACACAAGGAAAATACGCATCAGAAAGAATGCCATGGCCCTAACACGGCGCGTCAGAAAAATCTATAAGCACTCGTCTGCTTCATACTACATCTTGTAGGTACTCCGTTATCTGTGTCACTCACAGACGGTATTAACCGAGGTTGTTAGATACCATAACCCGAACCCTAACTATAACCCTAACGTGAGCACTAGCTTAACCGCTATAAAGGAATTTGACTGATCTTAGATCATGATAGCCTAACCTTAACCCTAACCGAACTCTAACCG